CAAACTCAATTCCAACATTTCCAAAATTCCTGCCCTGACTCTCCCGAATTTCCGAAATTCCAAAGTTTCCAAACTTCTCCCACAATGTTAAGGACCGACTCTGCCAGATAGGGCATAGAGTAGTGAAAATGTTGAGAAACGAAAATTTTGAATTGAATTTGGGAGAGGTCATGGTCGCCAATCCGTTGACAGATCATGCCTGGGGGCGGGCATGAAAGGGCATGGTCTGTCAGGGGGTGGGGGGGCGACCATATACATGTATGAATGAATGAATGTATGTACGTATGTATGTATGTATGCATATACATATATATATATATATGTGCATGCTCGCATAGCGTAGCACAGCAGTACCTAGGTACCTACATTCAGAGAGCATTGGTGCATGCATATTTGAGCACTTACTGTTGCACATGTACATGCTTGTCTACATACGTGCATAATAGGTACATACGTAGATGTGCCATGACTTGCCCGCGTACTCAGATACAGACATACTTAGAGAAAGACATGCATGCATACCCAGACATCCATTCGCACATGCTGCATGCATGTATACACGCACACATGCAAGCATACATGTCTAGAAAGCAAAAGCGCGCACGTACGCACGCGCTCACCCACACACACACATGTAGACGTATGATGCTCAAATTTTCTTCCGTTCCCTAAGCCCACAAACGTACATGTATGAAGGACGTAAGGTGCGTGGCAAACTTGCGAACATTATGCTGCCGGACGTAGCATGTTGATGCAACCTCTGGTTGGGGAGGCCTTTGTGATGAAGCGTGAGCTTCGCCTGAAGAAGATGCTGGAGTCGGAAGGCACTATGCACATGTGCTTTCGCCCGCACAGAGGCAGCATGAAGCAGCCAATTGACTTTGTGGGCCAGTGGGTGAACCATACCAGCAATGCTTCCGCCTAGGTGTGCGAGTGACTTGGATGATTTATGTCTGAATCGACGTGATGGATATGGCACTGCACCTTTTTTCGGGCAGCTTGCCCTGCTTTTCGTTGCAGTCGGCTGCTGACCTCGCTATAAGGCATATTGTGCACCATTGTGTTTCGTGGTGATGTTTAGCAGTGTCGTGGCTTAGCATTTGCCTTGACCTCATGTTCTAGTCCGGGACTCTTCAGGAAACTTCGGTAAACATCCAGGCTTCAAGATACAACAACTTGGTGGTGCACTGGTACTCGTTTGAAGTCGTTCAGCTTCCTTTTCGAGCTAATTCTTCCTAAGGATGTGGGAGGCCCAGTGACAACTATTGGATGGCAACGGGTAGTTGAACCAAGTCTTCGTGAGGTGCTAGGGGCTCTGCAGTGTGAGACGTTACAGGTTTGCCCCGTGCTTTCGCTGTGAGATACTGCGAGGTTGAGCATGTTCCATTGTACGCTGTGGTGCGTCTGTATGTTTCAAAGTCCTCTCGTCTGTCAATGGCTTTCATCGGTCTCGGGCAGCTTGCTGTCCCCCTTATCTTTGGCGAAGACGACCAGAGCACAACTTGCAGCTCTTCCGTGGACAGTTTTGGCTTTCTTGTGGACCCAAGGTTGCGACTTTGCCGTGGCCCTGCAGAAGCACTGCAAGGACAGCGGGGTGAACTACAGGTACGCGCTGACCTTCGCAACGCGAGGTTCCCCATCCGAGTACTTGCTCGTTTGGTTCGTCAATTGTGCCTCTGCCTGCGCTCTCTTCATGCCAGACCGTTCTTGTTCGGGCGAAGCGTGATATTGCGTTTTGGACCGGCCAGCAGTTTCCAACATTCTCGTTGACCGATGTTGGCCGCAACACTGCAACGTATCGCAACGTGATGCTCGCAGGATGCCTCTACGCACACCAACCCGCTGCTCGGCTCCGTTTCCCCTCTGCTGTGGGGCAGTCAATTCTTCCGTGACTCAGGTATGGCTGCACTTTTGACATCGGCCTCATGCCTACCATCAATGCCAGAATGTCTGTGATCATAATGCTTAGCGCGAATGCATGGGTTGCGTTTTAGTTGGCAGAGTGTGCCGCGTGTTGGAGATGAAACCTGGCATTCTGCGGTCAAGCTAACTCGCAGACGCCCTGCTGTCATGGACTTCGGTGACAGTGTGCCGAATGGGGTTTCGATAAGTGGCCAGGTGTCGGGCAGGCGTCTGGGAATGTGGCTTCAACAAGCAGGTTAGTGTGGCACTGGTTTTTGCGGGGGTTGTCCCCCGAAGACATGTGCCGGCATCCTGAACAATTAGTGTGCTCGCTGCTGCTCGCGGGTGGTGTATTCCGGGCTGTACACGGAGATGGGCTTTTCGGAGAGGTCTGGGGTCGAAAACCTCCAGGCCAAATCACGCCTAGAAGCTATCAAGACAAAACCCTGCATTTTGAAGACTTTGCCTTCATCATACACTCCCAGCCAAACCCACCAGGCACTGGTGTTTCATGGTGTTTCTTTGCAGTGCGAGCTTTCGCTGAAGTGGGGTTTTCCGGCACCGGAACGAACTCCTGCAGACCTAAGAGCAAAGGCTTCCTCCTGTTTGCATTTCCGATCCGGGATCCGAGCCTATATACACGGAGCGAGCATGTCCCACTGTCTGGGCACGGGAGGAGCCCACATCGATGCAAGTGGTCGTTCTGGTCGTCCTGATACCGCAAGGCATGCGCATCATTCCGAGGGTAGAGAGTTGATGTGACTCGAGGCCAAGTGTTGCAACCATCCTTGCCGTACGGCAACCTTCATCGCATGCTCTGGGGCTACGACTAGTGTAAGGAGGTACGGAGCAATCCCCTAGCGAAGGCACGACAGGAGAAGAATGCAATTCTGGTTGTTCTAGGCTGGGCTTCTGGGGAAGGAGTCCGCCCGAGGGGAATTGGGAAACGAGATGAAACAAGCCTATGTCTCACACATCCAGTGACGTTGTAGTGGTGGCGAGTGGCACCGGGATGTTTCAGCCACTGAGGTCAGTTTTCTTGTGCTGGAGGCGCAGTTGCGGAGGCACACCAGACACAAGGGCGATTGCATGGCAGCTTGTGAACACGCTGCTGAGCTGAAGCATTTGGATGATACAGGGCCGCGAATATGATGATGGCACCACTTGGTTCAAAGGCCTGGTCCCAAGCTGGCAGAGCAGGGGGCCCTCCGACCCAATCCGCGCAAGTCGTGCCTGAAGTGCGCTCTCATCGCTGTTGCGTGAGAGGCTGGATTTGGCGTATGGCCATCTGCCGCAACTGCGGTACCCATTTAGGGTGGCGCTTTGAAAGCAGGCGAACCATGCGATCATCCCGTCATTTGGTTTGTAGTAATTCGCGGTCGCACGAGCTTCTTACGCTCTTGCCTGCGGCTAAGTCTTATTAGTGTGCTCCGGCGACTCTGCAGTCTGGAAACTCGCCATGCTGTGCAGGTCCTGGAACAAGTCAGGTGGCCGTGGTGACGCGGCATTGTTCTGGGGCTTGATCTGGAGGCCAGCAGAGCCGGACGCTACTATTTGCACTGTGTGAGTAAACGGTTTAAACACACAAAGACGCACATGGAGACACACAATGAGAGGATGGAGAGACACGTTATACATACATATATATATATATATATATATATATAATACCTAGTTGGTAGGTAGGTCGGTCGGTCGGTGGG